CGCCCTCGCTTCCCCGCCCGTACGCACCCCCCGGCAAACAGATGCACCAGCGTGTCCCTCTGGTTCATTCTCTCTCCAGCATGTCCTCCGGGCGCTGAGGCGGGACGCGGATCCAGCTGCCCGCAAAGGCCGGCGTCTTCGGTACCGGAAGGAGACGTAGGACGCCCCGAAAAACGGCCTCGGGGAGCTCGGCGGAGACGCGGCTGCAGAAAGCAACCGACGTACCCTCTTCCCCCCGCGGCGCCGCAGCCGCGCCGCCGCCCGCTCCGCCTCAGCGTTCTGCGCCGCCGAGGGAGGGGGCGTGGCCAGCCTGAGCTTTCCCTCCCTCCTCCCCTGCCATAAACAGAGACTCCCATTGGTTCCGGGGGAAGTGGCGTCACGAGGCCCCGCACGCCTCTCTCACGTGATCGTCCAGGGAGGGTTTTTTTTTCAATGAAAGGCCGGCGGGCCCAGAGCGAGCGCGTGCCGGCGCGAGGGGCGGGGGCGGGGACCGGAAGTTCGTCGTCGCGTCCTCGCACCTAGCTCCGCGGAACCGGAAGTGCGTGCCTGTGGCGGTTTGTTTTTGGGGCCTGCTGAGTAGGTGCGCGATCTCGCGGCTTCCCCCCGGACAAAGTGCGCTTTCTAGAAAAGTCTTGTGCAAGTGCTCACGCGCGGGGTGGAAAGAACAAGAGGAAAGGGCCGCTTTAACGAACGGGTAAGTAGGAGTTGTGGAATCTCTTTCTCCGAGGGAAGACTGCGCAGTCGCCGCGGGCCGTGAGGTAAATTCGTCAGAAAAGAGACATTATTCCCCTTCCCCCCAAAGTGTAAGTAAAAAGCATATTTAAACATCATGAGCCGGTCGCCCGTGGCCCAGGCTGCTCAGGCGACGCTGAGAATTGAAGTTCAGGGGCCTGGGAAGGTGGCTCAGGGGTAGAGCGCTTGCCTCGCCTGCATGAGGCCCTGAGTTCGAGTCCTCAGCACCCCACAAGCAGGAAAAAGCCAGAAGTGGTGCTGTGGCTCAAGTGGTAGAGCGCTACCCTTGAGCTGAAGAGCTGAGGGACAGCGCCCAGGCCCAGAGTTCAGGCCCCACGACCAAAAAACAACACAAAAAAACCCAAAAGAATTGAGGTTCGAAGCCAACTCCGGCAGAAAAGTCACTGAGACTCTTTATCCCTCTCTATTAACCATAATATAATAATAATAATCACCACACTGTATCTCTGTTAGCCGAAAATGGAGCTGTGGCTCAAGTGTTAGACCGTCAGCCTTGAGCTAAAGAAAAGCTCAGGGACCGAAGGTCAGGCCTTGAGTTCAAGCCCCAGTTACAGACACCCTTCCCCCCAATCCCCCAAAAATAAGTCAAGTGGTATTTTTCTTTTAATTAAAAAAAATTTTTTTTTTGGTCCGTCGTGGGGCTTGAACTGTGGGCCTGGGTGCTGTCTCTGTGCTCTTCAGCTCAAGGCAAGCACTCTACCACTTGAGCCACAGCACCATTTTCTGAGTGGGTTATTGGAGATGAGTGTCTCACGGAGTTTCTTGCCTGAGCTGGCTTTGAACCGTGATCCTCAGATCTCAGCCTCCTGAGTAGCTGGGATGATGGGTGTGAGCCACCGGTACCCAGCATGGTATTTTTCTTTGGCTCTCGCTGAGGCTCCAGGTTCTGCACTGAACTGCAAGATTTTCTCATTTAACTCTGAACACTATTCTGTGTGGGTAACAATACACTCTCCTCTCCCCCTCATAATTTCATAGGAAGAAACAGGTTTAGAAAAATTAAGTACCTTGCCTAAGATTGCCCAGCTCAGTTTGTATTTGAATCCAGTGAAGAATCCATTCCCAAGGCTTTGATTTGCTCATTGGAGAGAGAAAATTAGCATAATGAGAAGTAGAAAACAACAATAAAAAAAAATAGAAACCCCTGACCATTGCCAGAACCTGTTGCCTTAATATTTCGAGGGTCGGGGGTTGGGAAGGTGGCTTAGTGATAGGGTGCTTGCCTTGCATGCAAGAGGCCCTGGGTTCAATTCCTCAGCACCACATAAGCAGAAAATGCTAGAAGTGGCACTGTTGCTCAAGTGGTAGAGCACTAACTAGCCTTGAGCTGAAGAACTCAGGGACAGTTCCCAGGCCCAGAGTTCAGGCCTCACAATTGACAAAAAAAAAAAATTCGAGGGTAGTTTCTCTCACATATGATGGCTTGACTGAGTTCTAATTCCCCATGAACATTTTAACATGTTTTAGTATAGTTTCATGATTGTGGAACCATCACCACTAATAATCCCTTCTCCCCCCCAGATTTCTGCACCCCAAAAGCAAATGTGGTCCTGTGACCACAGTTTTTCACTCCCTGCCCACTTCCTCCTGTCAAGTACTAATCGATTTCCAGTCTCTGGTTTCACCTAGTTTGGACATTTTATACATATATATATATATGGCTTTTGCTTGGCTTTTCAATTACCAGTGTCTTCCAGGTTCATTCACATCGCAGCATATATCAGGACTTCACTCCCTTTCTTGACTGAATAATGTTGCAATATATGTTATTTTTATCTATTCCCAGTCAATGGCCATTTGGGTTGTTGGCCATTACAAATAATGGTTTTTAGTCGGGTGCCGGTGGCTCATGCCTGTAATCCTACTCAGGAGGCTAAGATCTGAGGATCACGGTTCAAAGCCAGCCGAGGCAGGAAAGTCTGTGAGACTCTTATCTCCAATAAACTACCAGAAAACTGGAAGTGGTACTATGGCTCAAGCAGTAGAGCTCTCGCCTTGAGCTGAAGAACATAGGGACAGTGCCCAAGCCCAGAGTTCAAGCCCCCATGACCGACCAAAAAAAAATGCTTTTATTAACAATTCATGTGCAAGTTTCACAGTGACCATATATTTTCAGTTTTCTTGAATATATACTTCGAAGTGGATTTCCTGGGTGAGATGAAAAAAACTATGTTGAACCTTTGGAGGAGTTGTCAAGCTTTTCCAAATGGCTGCACCATTTTAAGTGCATTTCAAAGATAATAATGTTGCCAAGATTTTCCCCATAAAGTCTGCCCCAGTAATTTTGTCTCAGGAGGGAAGAAGTCTTTTTATATTTTTGTATTTTTAAAATTGAGATTAAATGATTACATAGATTTCACAAAATTCACAGTATTGTGGCATATTGATAGTTAAAAGTCACAAACACTTTTTTCCAAATGGGGTGATTTCTTTCCTTTTGCTGAGTGTCAGCTGTTCCCCCTTTCTCTCTCATTCCCTCCCTCCCATCGCTGCCCTTGAGTTGCTTACTTCACTTTCGTGAATGTCCAGCGCAGCTGATGGGCCTCTCTGCTGTTTCCTTCTGATTCTGTACCCTTTTCCTATCTCCAGGAGGGAAGAACTCTTAAGGTTCAGTTGCATTTATTCAGGTGCATTGCAGAGCTGACTGTCGGGCACTTTCACGCCACGCCCAAATGGGCGTGGCTATCGAGCCTCCCTCTTCTTGCGCCCATTGGAGGGATAAGCCTGTCACACCTGCTGTAGCACACGGCACTGCACGTGCCCGCTGACCGATAACCTTCCTTACTCACACGTCTTGCCTGGTGTACGTTTTCAAGCGACTCCCCCTGTCCTTTGCACAAGTTTTTCCATGTGGTGGGCATTTGGGCAGGGTAGGGAGGGTCTAAAGTCAGGCCGCCTAACACATGCACCGTTTTCCCCCTCTCCCGCCTGCAGAAGGGTCTTCTGGGAGTTGTAGTTTCTTCGTGTATGTGGAAAGATGTTGATCACCCTTGACAGGGAGGTGGCTTTCTGATGTGTGCCTAAACCGAACCAAACCAAAACACTCAACCAAATAAAACATGCTCAATGGGAAGCGAAGAGGACTAGACTTCCCAATTGGCTCCTGTTCTAATTTTAATTGCTGAAGGGCTGGGTAAAAATTCTTCATTGCCATAGGAGAGATGGGCGTAGTGGAACACAGATGGTCTGACATCACAGGCCTCCAGTACGGAAACCATTAACCTCGGATAGTTTTCCTGACCTAGAAATCTTTTTGTAGGCTGCAAGGGTTGGGTTGGCAACATCGTTTTGTGTATGTGAGTGTTATGTCCAATCTCTGTCTTCTTAGTCATTTTTTTTGTGAGATTGTAAAGTTGGAAAGTATTCTGTCTGTTGGTCTGTGAATCCATCTGTCGGTGGTGGGGCTTGAGCTCTTGTTCCTGTGCTCTACCACTTGAGCCACAGCGCCACTTCCGGTTTTCTGATGGTTACTTGTAGAGGGGAGTCTCCTGGACTTTCCTGCCTGGGCTGGCTTTGAACCTTGATCCTCAAAGCTCAGCTTTCTCAACAGCTAGGATTACAGGCTTGAGCCACTGATGCCCGGCTTGGAAAGTATTCTCGTAGCTAGATACCATTTTATCTAATTTTTTCCTCCATTTTACTTTTTTAAAAAAAATTTATTGTAAAGATACTACAGAGGGTTACAGTTACATGAACAAGGTAATGAGTACACTTCCTATTGAGTATTGTTACCCCCTCCATTGTTTTCCCCCTACCATCCCTTCCCTCCCTACCTTCCCCAGGTTCTTTTTTTTTTTAAATTGTGGTTAAGTGATTACATAATGTCCCAAATTTCACAGTATTGTGGAATAATATGCTCATTTAAAGTCACAAGTTCATTCTAACTTTCCTGGAGCAAATTGTCTATCACAGTCTATAACATATAACGGTGTACACTATACACCATACATGTGATCAGCAGCATGGGGATATTTAGTAGTGGTTCGACCAGATGAGTGGGAGTTCTTTGTTTCTTAGTCCTGTTAATTTTGTCATATCACCTAACATTTTGGATTTAGCATCCACTTATCAGGGAGACCATGTACCGTTTGTCTCTTTGCTGTTGGCTTACCTCGCTCAACATGATTCCTTCTAGCTTAATCCATTTCCCTGCAACTACCATTATTTTGTCATTTCTATCCATTTTACTTTTTAATTCTTTCAGTCTTTTTTTTTTTTTTTGCAGGTCCTGGGGCTTGAACTCAGGGCTTGGGCACTGACCCTGAGCTTCTTTTGCTCAAGGCTAGCACTCTACCACTTGAGCCATGGCATCACTTCTGACTTTCTCTGTTTTTGTGGTACTAAGGAATTGAACCCAGGGCTTCATGCATGCTAGGCAAGCACTCTACCACTAAGCTACATTACCAGCCCCTCCATTTTACTTTTTAATAATACATTCAAATACACAGGGACATAAGGAAAAGATTAAAATCCTCCTTTGCCAGCCTCCTTTCTAAGTCCTGTTATCCGTG